ATGATGATGATGATGATGATGATGATGATGATGATGATGATGGAGATGATGATGATGGTGGTGATGGTGATGATGATGTTTTGTTGTTGTTGATGGTGATGATGATGGTGGTGATGGTGGTGGTGGTAATAGTGATGATCATAAAGAATTCCTGATCTAAGTTACAGTCGACGATGACGCAATGCCCGATGTTGACGATCCGTTGAAACATCTCAAGGTATATTCGAATCGTCTTCAAACACGACCGTTATTGATGAAATCATTTATTTTGCACACTTTGTACCATATTTGCGGACGTTTTCTTCAATTTTGGTGTTAGAATGATTCTTACTAATCGTAAACCGCAGCCAGCTCAATTTTCGTTCAATGCCCAAGAGGTTTTCTGCCCTCGGTCTCACCTGAACTCTGTTGAATGTTGCTCGGTAACAGGCACAGGAAGAGCTGAGAAGGAGGAGAGCGGAAGAGGCAAAAAGGCTGAAAGAAGCCGAGATGGCCAAGCAGCAACAGAAGAAGAAGAGGCGAGGAGCATGGAAGATCGCTGGGACTGCTTGTCTGGTATCAAAATTTTCGAAGGAGAATGGAACATAGAGAGCAAACCCGATGACATGTGCTTGCATGCAGGCGTGGGATTGGTTTCAAGGGCGATCGCAGAATGTCTATGACTTCACTACTCTTCGAAACAGGAAGTTTGGATACGTTGTCCAGCTCTACGACCTCACTCCCACGGGATGGTTTTCATTTTCTCGCATGACAGAAACGAGGGTTGTCTTGACTTGTGTTGAGCTGACAATCTCTTGTGCTGATAGAGATGCTTTTGAAGGTTGTATATACGTGCTTCTGCAACGGCGTTACAGAATCGAGAGGATCTGAATTCTGGGGAGAGAGTCTGGTGAAGAGCCTTCTGAACATGACCATGATACAGGTGATGTAAAACAATGTATGAGAAAGAAACATTGCATGACCGCACTGACTTCATCTCTGTTCATCTCATGCTAATGAATGTGAATGAATGAATGATGTCTGCACGCAGAATCGGACGTTGCCCTTCAAAGCCAACGATGACGGGCAGGGAATCATCTTTCGCTTTAGCAACTGGCATGGGAGGGTGAGAATCTAAAGTTTCTCTGTTCACAGTGTATTGTTATGGTTGTTCTTTCCTTTCCTCCTCCTCTCCCTTCTCATTCTCTCTTTTAATTGCTCTCCTCAATCCTCCTTTGCTCTCATCTCTCTTCTATTTCCTCCCCCTCCTCCATTTGCTCTCTGTCCCCTCCCTTCTTTCCTCTCCTTCCTCGTCTCCTTCCTCGTCTTCAGCCTCGTCTTCAGCGCCTCGTCCTCAGCCTCTGACTCTTCTTCCAGGTGAAAGGAAGCTTCGTTCTCATCCGGCACTACAAGCGCACTGACGAAGTCAAGATTGACTCCTCTGCTCCATTCCTCTGCTGACGTTTCGATCTCAAGGAGTTGTATCTCACACCGGAAGGGTTCGTCTTCATCGGTCAATCGATGCGAGATAAGACTCTTACCATCTTCGGGAAGAGTGTGGACGCCTATATCTCAGAGGAGGACGAGGATGCTGATCCTATTCATGCTGTTTGGGTCCAGGGACCAGGGTATCTCTTCCTCCTGTCTGCTCTTGTACTGCCTCCCCCTGTCTACAGCGTCGTCCTCTCGCTTCCTTCCTTCCGTTCTCTCTCCCCTCTTCTCTTCCTCCCAGCTCCATCTCTCCCTTCTCCTGCTCTCCTGCTCTCCTGCTCCCCCATCCTTCCCTCCTCTGCTGAGGTGCAAGCAGGAGACCAAAATTCATAAAGCCCAAGAGGGCGAAGGCTCTTCTCAAGGAGCAGCAGGACCTGTTTCGGTAAATCTCCATCGCTGGTGGTGGTTGTGCTGTGATGGTGCTGGTGCTTGTGCTTGTGCTTGTGCTTGTGCTGGTGCTGGTGCTGGTGGTGCTGGTGCTGGTGAAGGTGCTGGTGGTGCTAGTGATGGTGGAGGTGCTGGTGGAGGTGCTACTGTTGCTGCTCAATTCCAACAGGCAAGGAGATCTCGACTGGCTTTTCGTCGCCCACAACGCGAAACTTCGAGACGAGAAGCGAGACAAAGAGATCGACGAGTCATCGGAATCCATGCCTCGTGAACCTTTCAAGTTCGTTTCACACTCCTCCTGTCCTGTCCTCTTTCATTCCTTTTCTCACCTCTCCTCTTCCACTCTCCTCTCCTCTCCTTTCTTCTCCTCTCCCCCCCCTCCTGTCTTCTTCTCTCCTCTCGTTTTCTGCTCTCTTTTCGCATTATGTCGTCTCCTCTCCCCCCGGCCTCTCCTACCTAATCTATTATTCTCTTCTTCTATATTCTCTCCTCCTCTTATCCTAAGCTCTTTTCTTCCCCGCCATGATGTCCTATCATCTACACAACTACCTACCATCCTCTCATTCATTCCTCCTTCCTTCTCCTGTCTATATCCTCGCCTCTGCCTCTGCCTCTGTCCTGTCCCGTCTCATCCCGTCCCATCTTTTGTTCTTTCTCACTGTCTCCCATGACATTCACTCTAGATGGCCGTCTGACCCTCAAGAGGATGTGTTTGGAGCTGCCAATCAGGAGGAGGAGGAGGCAGCATCTATGGACCAGATGGTAAGCAGGGACTAGATGATGTTGAGCCCTGACAGGATGTGCTAGTTGTACGAGAATGGCAATGAGCTTATGTGAGTTCAATGGTGGTACACTGTCAAGAGAGCTGGGGGCTGGTGATTGGAGAAGCTCCTGATAGGCTCAGTTACTTCTGTATATAAACTAGAGATGATTTGAACGCCATTCCCATCTCACCATCTAGGTCAGGTTGTACCTGACTCTTGTTGTCCTTCACCCTTTAATCTACAAAAGAATATCCAAGAAATACTTCTAATATTTACAGCAACTTCTGATTTCCTCCTATCCTCATCCTACCCCCCCCCCCCCCCACTCCTCTTCTGTCTCCTCTCCTCTCCTCTCCTCTCCTCTCCTCTCCTCTCCTCTCCTCTCCTCTCCTCTCCTTCTCTTCTCCTCTCCGTCAGTCCAACTTTACGTACTCTGCTGAACCGCAGCTTGCTAACTTGGACAGGAGATATTCTGACGCCCCCAGCAGCTGCCCAGCCCGCTCCTCCTCCTCACCCCTCTTGGACAGGATGGACTCCCACTCCCAGTAAGGGATGCCGATCAAGTGATATCCTGCGAAAGTTCAGCACCAGCTCAAGTCCAGCAGGAGCTGAGAAGACCCAGAGCTGCTAGGTGTCGCCAACGGAGGAGCATAGCTGCCTTGAGTGTCTTCCTGTCTGCTAGGAAGCAGTTCCGATCGTGCACCTGCCCGTTCTAGTCAGTGCTCTTGCTCCTCCGTCCTCTCGCCCGCTCCCCTTCAACCCCAAAACCTCTTCCCTGCTCGCATTCTTCCTTCCTCGCCCATTGTTCAAGTTCCCTTGCACCCTCACCCTCCTCTCCTCCTTCCCCACCCCCTCCCTTGCCTCCTTCTCCCTTACTATCACACGACCTACCTCCACGACGTACTGATCGCCAGGTTGCGACCCCTGAAGCAGAAGCACGTCCAGCCGATACCCGGATTCGACGTCAACTCTCCCTTCGATACAGGGGATCCCTGCAGAAAGAGGGAGGGAGGAAGGTCAGATCGCTGAAAGGGGAGGAGAGGAGGAGTGTAGAGGAAGGATCGAAGAGAGACGAGGGCAGTGAGAGAAGAAAGGGAGTTGAGAACAGCAGGAGCGATGGAAGCAGCTGTAGTGAACAGATAAGTGGTTGTGATGATGATGATGATGATTTTGTTGTTGTTGATTTTGTTCTTGATCTTGTTCTTGATCTTGTTCTTGATGATGATGATGGTGATGATGATGATGGTCTTGAAAAGTATCCTCACCAGTGCGAGAAAACGTCTCTGCAATTTGCTTCCTCAACCTTCACATGTCATAGTCAAGTCAAATACTCAAATACCCCACCCTTCCTCTCCTCTCCTCATCCTCCTTCCCTGCATCCCCTCTAACATTCTCTCTTCTCGCCCGTGCTCAAGCTCACTTTGAAGGGCGCAGGTTCACTTTAAGGAAAGAGTTCTTTGCTCGCTCTTGCAATTCTGAAGTTTACATGTCAGAAGTTTTCAACACAAGTCAAATTCATCCTTCTTCACCCTGCCTCCCCTTGGTCATACTCTCATTTCTTCCTTGCTCGGCTCCTCCCCCTTCCTCGCTGCCGTTTCCTCCTACCCTCCTCGTCCTCTCCCTTTTCCTTTCTCTCCTTTTTCCTTTTCCTCTTCCTCGATCCACTCTCTTCCACACACCTGATCGGACTACATGCATGTCGGGGTTATGTTCAATAACTCTCTTCAACTTTGGGTCCAGGGAGCAAGACAAGAAGAACTGCCGAGAAGCGATGAGAGGAGGATTGGACCGTTATCACTTCCACTCACGATATGCAGCAACGACAGGTCCATCTCTTGAAACTCGTTGATCAGCAGCTTGATTTCCCTCATAACCGACTCCTGACACTGTTGTAAGACAACCACCCAGCATGACCGACATGCAAGGTCGAGTACAATCAGCTCCACGTCTTCGATCCGGAGCACAGCGATACTCCAGCAAGTCATGCTCGTCATGCCTCCTCGTTTCCACATGTTGTAGCTTCTGCTCTTGTTCTCGCACCCGCGTTCTTTCAAGCTGCTCTGCAGGTTTCTGGTGATGTTTGCAAGACGATCGTGCGAGATTCGAGGTTGTAAGATGGCGGCAGACCACAGGAGGAGTACAGCGTCCTGCCTGTTGATGTCGATGCTGCAGGAGGAAGTCAGGGAGCGGAAGAGAAGGAGACGAGAGAAGGGAAGAGGAGTACTCAATGGGGAAGGAGGAGATGAGAGGAGACAGGGGGGAGGACGAAGGGGGAAGAGGAGACAAAGAGAGGTGGAGGTGAAAGTGGAGAGGGAAGGAAAAGGGAGTACAAGAAAGACGAGAGAAAGGAAGGGAGGAGGGAGGAGGGAGGAGGAAGGAGGAAGGAGGAGGGAATCTCAACAAGAGACAAGGAGGAACAATCCTCACCCTTCTGCTTTCCGAAGGAACATCTCAAGTTGCCCATGGGGCAGAGTTTCAGACAAAGAGGTCATCCCCCATAGTAAGTTGGAGATGCTCGTGACTGAGAATTCGTCTACCGCAAACAATCAACCGGCATCTTAACAGTTAGATCCGACTTTACCGATCTTCGAGAAGGCCGCCTGACAGATCTGCTGGCACGTGTCGTGCAGGATGCTTCTCACGTTGTTTGCATTCGAGATGGTCTGATTGTTGTGCTTGCTCTGGTCCAATCTCTCTTCATCACCTAGCGTCTGATTGGACAGCAAGACACGATTTTGCGGCTGCTGCTGTTCTACATCTATTTTCCTTGCTTCGATGCGATCATCGACAGGAGATGTTCTGTATAAGATGGCAATGGACCAAACGGTCTCAGATAGTTCTTGCGGACCAAAGTCTTGAACTCTGAAAACAACATCATCATGGATCGCATTCCAGTACAGAGAAACGGGAAAAAATTCAAGAGGATAAAAGAACCAGAAGAACGAGAAGGAGAAAGAGAAGGAGAGCAATGGAGGAGGTGGTGGCCGCAAGACAAGGGCGAGAAGTAGAAGGAGGGCTGAAAGAGTTGCAGTGAAGATGGTGGTGGGACTGATAGGGGAGATGTGGAAACTTACATTGACACAATCCGATGGCATACGATCTTGAGAAAAGTAGGAGAGATTTTGATCCGCAAGTTTGCAAGAGCCCAAAGAATGCATGCGACGTTATGAGCTGAGAGAGATTGGGAGATAAAGCTGATACAGGTCACATCAGTGAGAAAAAGAGACGAGGAGATGGAGGAAAGCACGCGAGGGAGTAGAGGATTGAAAGGAAGAGAATGGGATGGGAGAAATGAAAAGAAAGCCGGAGGGATTGAGGCAAGGGGTAATGAAACTGGGTGGGAGAAGGAGCAAGCGAAAGAAGCAAGAAAGACGTTGGAGCGTAGGAAGGAAGGGAGGAAGCAAAGGAGGAGAACGAGGAGCAGGAGAGGAATGGAAGCGAGAAGAGGAGGAGAGGAGCACTAGGAGGAGACAAGCGAGAGGAGGAGAGGAGCAGTAGGAGGAGACAAGGGTCTACCTGATATGGGCCAGCAGCCTCGCAGCAAGAACAGGCGCCAGAGCCTTTCCAAGAATGGCGTGAGACCTACACATGCTTGTCAGGATCAAACTTGGGCCATAGAAGAACTCACCAGAGAAAGTCAGAGATGTCCTGAGCCTGAAACGCCTGCAGACCCGTGTGATCTTCCGAACACTCTCCTTCCTTCAATCTCGTCTCTCCTCTCCTCCAGCCCCCAAGTCTCCAGCTGCAAACTCCTTCTCCTGTCCTGCCCCTCCCCGATGCTCTCCGAACTTTTTTCCGATGATTTGCCGCAAACCGCTGTATAAGCCTCTCCCTCCTCCCTTCCATGCCTTCATATCACCTAGTCCTCTTCCTCTTCCTCTTTGTCAGCCACAAATCCACATACCTGCACGCACGACAGAGCACGGGCAGACAAACGGATGTAAAGGAAGTCGTCGGGCTCGTTCTGCAGCAGCCCGTGCGACCAGAGAATGTCGGTCATGTCGCTACACACAAGTCAAGGTTGCCACGATCTTACAATAGCTGACAAGTTGAGCACCGTAAATTGAAACTTTCAATGTTGACAGCAGCCCGCTCGCTCAGTGCTAGGCAAAGATCCTACAAAGAAACTTTGAAAGGTGGAAAGAGAGGTAGGGAAAAGACAGAAGGGTATGACGCGATGAGGAAAGTGATTTTGACATGATAGCTTGATCACATCAAGGAGATGAGAAACCGTGAAGGGAATTGGAAAATCCGGCAAATCTTCAGATGGGGCGAGCATGCAAGCTCTTACCTTGTGCATCCTAACCGAGAGAAGAGCGAAGGAGACGAAGATCGACGATATTTCACTCGCATTCAACTCGTTGACGTTTTGGAGGAGACCCTGGTTTAACTTACTTTCCCAGGATAACAGCAGAGCAACTCACTCTCGAGATCCCGTCGAGCTTGCCGGGTGGGAGTTTGAACTCAAATATCGCAATAGACCACAGGAGTCTGCAGAGATCTCTGCCTGTCAAGACATTGACGTCTTTCACTGTTCCTTCGAAAAGATCCTGCAGGAAAGCTCTGGAGACAAGAGACCCCTCCTCTCCGCCCTCTGATAGTTCGCAAAGAGAGATCGCCCATAAGATTGAACAACACTGGGATGCAGACAACAGCAACATGTCCTCGTGGACTCTGAGGAAAAAGCGTCAGAGATGCCAGCATGGCGGTATGAACGTCGAGGGTTCACTTGGAAAGCAGAAGCTTGATGATATCTGGGGGAGGCTGAACTCTGACGATCGTCAACGATTCAAGGATGTCTACAACAACATGGTCAACAGTTTGAAAGAGCACGATTCATAAAAGTTCATCAGAGTCAGAATCATGTTCGTAGTTGTCATCATCATTGTCATCATCGTTCTGAGCAATCGCAACCACAGCTGCATTACATGCAAGGTTCTGACTTGAAACATCATCCTGCAAATTCGTCATGTCATATCAAATCCAAATCAAGTACCTTGTGAAGCCTTAGCTTCTCCCACATCTCCTCCAAGATGCGCGGAGAAAGATGACGATTGATGGACCCAGAAACTGTTGAAAGAGGTTCATTACATATCATAGTCTCCAAAGAAAAGCCTTCTCCTTTGACAACCTTGCAGAATACTTGAAAGCTCGTTGATGCTTATTTGTTCAGATTCTTGTAGAAGGCGCTTGCACAGCAAATCGAACACTTTATCTGTACAATCGATCAGAAAACCAAACAGTTATGTTGCAGGTTTGGACCTGCATTGTCCTTGGTCACTTTGGGCATCTTCCTGGAAACAATATCCTTATCGTCTTCGCCAACAGTTTGCTGTGCAATCAGTCAACCACTGGCAAGCTTAAAAGCATCTACATTCTCAAAGTTGGTAACTGAATCCTTGTCCACGATCATTTGCTGAAGAAGAGAAAAGGCCGCTGGAACTTTCATCGCGTGAAACAAATTCAACTGTGACATCTCACATGTCAATGCAATGTAAACGACAATGACTGGGCAAGAGGAGGAAGGAGGAGAGGATTACTTGCAAATCAGTCTAAGTAGGGGACACACAGAAGAAAAACTAGAGTTCTGACGAAGCATGACAGAGAATGCAACAACTCAAAGGCTTTTACAACGGGAGAAGGTCAATGACGTAGGAGGTTCACCAAGGCATTGTTGTCCACAGACTGGTGAGATCTTGCCCTCGCCACCTGCTCAGACGTCGACTTGTCGATAATCTGAGAGAGAGGGGTCAGACAAAAGAGAGGAGCCTTCATGCCTATCGGGCACATCACCTTGTCTGTGGAAGGTTCCTTCTCCTGTGCGATAAGAAAGACAGGCGCTCGCATCCTTTTCTTCACGGCATGCCTCCTACTGCTACACGCGCGTCAGAAATTATTGGCTGTCCTCATCGGCAATCTGAACACATCTTGTTACTTACTGGTTGATGGATGGCCGCCGAAAATCTGCAGAGATGTTACTAGAAGAAAGACAGCCAGATGTAACCATAAAGTAGGGGTTGAACAAACAGAAAAACCGAGATTAAATTACTTGTCGTCTTTTTCTTCTGCATCTTCACTATGATAGTCTCATTGACAATCAACAAGACAGGATTTTCAGAGATGCTCCTCGACATGTCGAACAGACATGTAAATAATATGCTCACAGCACTTTTATGTCCCGACATGCAAAAGTTGCCCTCAACACGGCATCGTGCTACCAGGATCACAACCAAACATCTCACTTCGAAACTACTACAAGCCTGACTGCACACCATTCCCACCTCCATCATTGCCCTCTGCTCACCCCATTGCTTCTACAACCTTTTGTATCCACTACCTGGCTTGCCGCAACTTCCACACAAGATTTTACTTTCCTCCTTCTCTCCCGTCTCTTCCCTCCCCTCTCTTCTCTATCCGCTGTTCTCTCTCCTCTCTGCTCTCTCCTCTCTGCTCTCTCCTCCTCCACTTTCCCCTCTCTTCCCTCTTCCCTCTCCTCTCTCCTCTCTCCTCTCTCCTCCTCCGCTTTCCCCTCTCTTTCCTTCTCTTACCCGTGCTCATCGTGCGCACCGCTCTCCGAAAGAGCGGCAGCATTGAAGTTTGTTCAGCCTGCTTCTTCAATCCGACTGATTCTCGAGGTTGAAACCGATTCAATACCAATTGCGCTCGGGCTCGGAAACGCACTGCGGCCCGGCCCCCCGCACACGGTGTCCCGGTCGCGCCGGGCGGCCGCGGGTCCGATCGGGCCGGGGGGGCGCGGCCCGGTCGGGCCCCGGGTCCGAGGGCCGGCCGCGGCGGCCGCGGCAGCGGTCAGTCCGATTCCGAGCCGCTCGGACACTGCAGTAAGCCTTTACCGTCAGGCTCTACTCAAAGTTAAGTCAAAAATCAGTACGGTACTCTGTGACGGTACGACTGACAGTGAGGACAATCAGGAGACACGGTCGGTGTCAGGCTCAGTACTACTAAGGCTACTGCGGCCCGGCCAGCCGCCGCTTGTTCAGTGGACTCGACTCAGCCGCGTCAGTCCGGGACTCGAGGCTTGATCGCACCGCGGCAGCCCGGGCCGGGCTGTCGGAGCCGCCTACGGTGTACGGCGTACGGCCTGAGCCTAAAATAAGCCAATGACTCTGATCGGAGGTCATGCCAACTTGCAACGTGACACGGTCAAGCCTCCTCGACTCTCCTGATTGTCCTCGTACTGATTTTAACTTAACTTTGAGTAAAGACACCGTGGCACGGTTAGTGAGCCTCGGAGCCGCCTTAGTACCGGGTGTACGGCGTACCGTCGGCCTGAGCCTCTAAAATAAGCCAGTGCCACTGAGCGGCCGCCCGATCGGTTGAGAACCGTTGAAAAAACTACTAGTCATATGACTGGCAGGTAAATTTTACAAAGTTTTAGGCAGCCTCCGACTGTCACTAGAGTCACGGGCCCGCCTTGTTTTTACACTGCTGATGTAGAGGTAGAGACAAAATCTTTAGTCATCCTCCTATCAGGTACCGGTCGTCGCGTTCTTGGATGACAGTGTATTTTAACTTTCGGGCATGAACTTGGATAGACTACCCACCCTTTTGTAGTTGAAGTGCTTTAAATCAGTGGGTGGGTGCGAAGTTGTCTCAACTTTTTCTCCGTTACATGGCGGTTAAAAAAGTCTGCTGGTTAACTTCAAAGAGAACTCGGACCCCCCAAGTGTACTGCATGACCACCCCTTTTAGGGGTCCTTTTCAGATCCTTAAGTTGCGCTACTAAACGCATTACTAAAGAAAAAATCTTTTACTTCAATCCAGTCCGACGCCAAGTAGAGCGTGTCGGAAGTAACAGCAAGTTGAAGATCAAAGTATGAACACAATCATCATCAACAACAAAGACAACATCTAGTACTACTACACCAGGAAAGAACCTTCCTGCAAAAACAATACCTACACATGAAGCCAGCTGAAATCCAAGCGAATATGTGCCAGAGCGAACAATCACAACAAACACTTGAAATAGAGATCGAAGAATCCTCAGAAATATTCACCATCGATAAGCCCCCAGCCAAATGCAACGCAGATGAATTGCAAATTGAGCCATCAAAGCCAACCAAAGAAATGAAAATCGATACCGAAGATGTAAAGCTTGGGTTTCAGCGTAGACCCCCCCTTCAGGACGACTGCCCCATCTTCCTTGACCTCGCCTCCCACCATAACATCCTCATGCCTGATGACATCGACCGCTGCGGATCCTTCGCCATCCGTCGATCCTCCCTCACCTTCGGCGACGTCCTCGGCCAAGGCTCCTGCGGGGAGGTCAGGAGCGCCCTCTACAACGGCAGGCAGGTCGCCGTCAAGACCCTTTGCTCCAAGCTCGACGCCCGGTCCGAGGAGGGCAAGGACCTGCTCAAGGAGATCGGCATGATGAGCCACGCGTTCCGGCACAAGAACGTGGTGGAGTTCTACGGCATCTACGAGCACGACGGGCTGCCGTGGCTGGTGATGGAGCTGATGCCGGGGGGGAGCCTTGAGCAGTACTACGAGGCCAAGAAGAAGTCGCGACGGGACGGGCGCTGGCGGCCCGAGACGAGGAGGGCAGTGTCGTGGGTGGAGGACATCCTGAGCGCGCTGGCGTACCTGCACGCGCAGAAGCCGCCGGTGATCCACCGAGACATCAAGCCGGCCAACATGCTGCTGACGGGGGACGGGAGGACGGTGAAGATCGGGGACTTCGGGCTCAGCCGCATGTGTCCGCTGAGCCCGGGCAAGGCGCCGCTGACACCGGGAGGAGGCAGGGGGTCTGGCGGCTTCTTGTCGGACGAGTCGATCATGTCGACGGAGCTGACAGGCACAACGGGGACGTACCGGTACATGGCGCCGGAGATCTTCCTGGGAGTGGGTCAGTACACGGCGGCGGTGGACGTGTACTCTTTCTCGCTGGTGATGTGGTACATCTTCGCCGGGGAGCATCCCTTCTGCAACATCGACGGACACTCGGTGGCCAGCATGGCAGCCAAGTACAACTTCCGTCCGTCGCTTCTTAACGATCGGGTTCCGAGAGAGCTACAGGGGATAATGAGGCGATCATGGGCGGGGGAGGGCCAGGAGAGGCCGAGGGCGGCGGAGCTTCTGGAGGAGGTCGAGGCATGGCGAGGTAGGCGTGCGGGGTGTAGAGGTGTCTTCTCATGGAGATGAGGGTCACGGAAGGAGTGATTTGGCTAAGGGAGCAAGACCTTTTCTAGTGTATTTTGTGGAGAGGAACTTTTGTAATTCAGTTTTGTAAGATGGTTGTTGGAATTGGGAATGACAGTGTGGTTTGCAAGTACAGAGTTGTTTACTTGTTCCATCACATGCTTCCAAGATTGCCGCTGTGTGTCACATAGGCTGCTGTACCTGATACATCATCACGAGTCATGCGGCTGCTTCTCAGTCTGGCTGTATCCTGCAGCAAGTCAAGTTGCAGCCGCACTGAGCAGTTGACTCGGTGACCTGACATGGCAATGTCAAATAGGTTGCGCTGAGTAGTACAGAACCAATGATTGTGCGGCGGTACGGTGATCGGTCACGCTCGGCGCCGGGACCGGGAGCCTGCCCGGCCCCGGGCCCGGCGGGACCGTGGAGCCCGGGCCCGAGACCCGTCAGTGACTGCCGATGTGCTGCAACTTCAACTTACGGTACTCGGACCTGGCAACCGAACGCCGTGACGCTGAGTCCCGACTGGGGCGGGAGCCGGGACTCCGGGAGGCCCCCCGGGCCCCGCACTGCCCGGCCGCCGCCGCGAGTCACGCCGGTGCCGACTCTCACGGTGTGCTGGCAAGTACTGATGACCCGGATGTGAGCCTAAGGACGCCGCGACCCAACCGTGAACCGTCGTGACCGTCGCCGTTTCGGATGTCACGCCGAAGTTTCTCGGAACCGTTGAACCGTCACCGTGCCTGGCAGCTCCGCAGTACGGTAGCCCAGTGTGCGGACAGCCTGAATCAGAGGATTTATTCGAATAAATGCAGAAAACCATTGTTCTCGGCTGGATTCTAATCGAAACAAATCGTTGGATTGTTGAAGCGACGATGGCAACCCTGAGCTGTGAGTGGTGGTGCCCAGGAGAGTCGGGGAGGAGAAGAAGAGGAGAGGGATAGATGGGAGAGCGCGAGCAAGAGAGATACATGCAGGGAAGAGGAGAGGGAGCGGGAGAGGCAGGGAGGGGCAGGGAGGGGCAGGGAGAGGGGAGGGAAGGGCTGGTCAAAAACAGAAATCACCGCTCACTGTCGATCTCATATGAACACAGGCAGCAACTGTAGTTTGACCTACTTCGTCTGGATCGTGTGGTTTTGTCATGCTGTTTTCAACCTCGTCTTCATAGGTATGCAGCTTTGATTTGCCGAAATTGGTTGATGACATTTTCCTGCGCTTCAGGCTGTGCTATCAAGTCGGTATGTTTCATTTTATGCTCGCGTTTCCTTGATCCTACAATTTGTCGTCGGCATGACTCGTTTCATTCAAATTCTCAGTACCAAAGATATCATCAAGTTCAGGTATTCCCTCTTGATTTTCTGAAATCCAATGGATGACCCTGTTTGTAGCAATTTCGCGATTTCCTGGGCGTAATTATCCTCATGTTCTCAGAAGGAGATTCTTGCACATTGTTTGACATGTTATAGCCCTGCATTGCTTTCGATCATGTACCTTACATACTCGGTCATCTACCTCTTAGGAAGATATCTGAAGTCGACCAGGCATGTTTGCTTTCTTTCTCAACTGTGCTTAAAGCTTCACCTGTCACAGTTTTCATGCTGGATGGATTTCCGCGGGTTCTTTCTTCCTCATATTTCAGCACATGGTGCTGGGAGACTCTCACTCCACGCTCCGATTCCTCGCTGACAGTGTTCATACAGACATACGTGGTGTGGTCAGTGACCATACTTTGCCAGTGAGCATTTGACTGCCGATGTGAACTAACAGGAGCTGACGTCTTGACTTTGCAGTAGCGGAAGCTCAGGTATAGATTCTTCTGCACTCTCGGCCCGGATGTGAACTATGGATTGAAGAGGCCGTGTGCGACCAAACCATGTACGCAAGTTTGGGTACGTGATAGCTCCTCAACCCACGTAACCTAAAAACAAACTTTTGCGCAGTGTTTGCAGGATTTGCAATGGGCTCGGGATCACTCTTTTTCTTGTTGTTCACATTCTATCACTTCAAGTAATGCTATTGTCTCTTCCACTTGTCTCTTTCTCAACTCCTCTTTGTTTTCTGACTAATCCAACACCTGCCCTACCTTCTCTCTTTCCTTGACTTCCTTCTTCCCGACCTCCTTTCTTCACACTTTGCATTTGCAGGTATGTCGAATCGAGCGACGGCGTAAGTAGAAGCTATGCCATGAAGTACTTTTGCTCTAATATCCCAAGCTGCTTACACTTTGATCAGATCCATGGGGGGAGTTCCACGATCGGATGCAATATGACGACAGATAGACCTGCATCTTTGTCCTTATGTCATGTATGATTTGCTCAACACTCTGTCTGCCAGATATAACCAAATGCGGCACAAAGAGATCGACTGTATAAATGGTTTAATTCCCCTCAATCCAGCGAACTAGAAGGACGATTCCTAATAGAATCAAGAATCCAATAAGAGCTACACTTTGATGAGAAAGATCAAAGCCGAGAACCTGTCAGGCAAAGTCAGATCAAAGAACCCTGTGCCAACAAATCCCTTTGAACTTACCGAAAGCAAACTATCCTTTCTTTCCACTCTTACACCAGTAGGCCGCGATAGTGGAGTTCGGCTCACTCGGTGAACCTGGTCAACGATGGTCACATGTATGGAATTCCCCCTCTTGTGAGAAGAGCTGCCTTGCTACAACCAGACTGCTTTAGTACCTTGCTGGATTTTCTACCAAACTTTCATATCATGTCTCACCCAGAGCAATGGCGTGAGAGTCACTGAGTCACTCAGAAACGTAGAAAACTCATCTGCTAATCAACGTTTCCTCATCGTCTCTTTCCTCGTCCTCGTCCTCGTCTCCCTCCCCCCTCGTCCTCCTCAAGGCTCACCGGCGCACGTTGCCTCAGGCTACTGTCATCCATGGTTGATTGGAGGCTAGCTAATCACCCGGCGTTGCCTCGCATGATCGGCGCCGGCCGCAAGTGCGGCCGCCCGGCCGCCCGGCGGCCGGGCGCGGGCCATTCCGAAGTTCCGCCGGACTGCCTCCGCCCGGACACTGCGGGCCTAGCCAGGCTAGCCTGGGCCGGGCTACTAGCGGCTGAGCCGTAGTACGGTAGTCACTGACATGATCCCGGCTGACGGGCCGGCCCGACTCATGCCATCGGATGCCATCCTGGCCGCAGTCCGACGGGTGACATAGGCTGACCGTCCGACTACCGGGCTAGGTCAACTCAGTGCCGCCGGGCCCCCCGGGCCCATCATGCCGTCACAGAGTCACGGGCCCGGCCAACTTCGATAGCCGCACTAGTCATTGACCATTCCGTTCCAATTCCCTTCTGGATTTTTTCTGTTTTCGGAGGGGTCTTTTTCGTACAGGATTTTTATTTCACAGGGTAATGAAAGTTTGTACCACTAGTCTGAAATGTTTTCAGAACATTATTGCGCACAACTGTTTCCAAATATGGATTGTCAATGCTTAAAAGTATTATACATAATACAAATCTCCAAAAATAATATAGCGCCCTGCACTTCGTCTACCATTGCCCATTCGAATGCGAGAGCCGGCAACGGCACGTCGGCGGAGCGTCAGAACAGCAGCGGCGAATGGCATACAGTCTCGACGAGATGCTGATGATCGACAAAGCTTTTCTGACTTAGAAGGATCTCCGTTATCTGCACCTGAATCTTTGTATGAACCGCTCTGCTTGGAAATCCAAGCAGCTCGAGAACAATCTCGTTTTGAGGTTCGATGGGTCAATCCTATTATGGATGAGCAGATTCTCCTCACACCAGGTGTAGGCTTATCATATTTTGAAGATGATCAGGCAAGCATGAGGAGATTTGGTATCATAAAACGTCTTGTTTCGGAAACCAGCGTGGAGGTATACATCTTGTATGACAAGATACTCCTAGAAAAGGTTGATCAGAACATAACGAACCATGGTCTTGGCAACAGAAATCTACGGAAGATCATTCAATCGATGTCAGAAAGTATTTGCTATCAATCAATTTACCTTGATGTCGTTGACATTGATATGATTGAAGATTTGGTAAATGTTCAATACCCAATTTTTCTTGATCCACATGCGCCAATGCCAAGCTTGAAAAATGTACAAGTTGTAGGACACATTTTCTTCAAGGATGGAGCGCAAAAGTCGTTCTGTGACATTTCTTACTTCAAAATGCCAAATCCTGAGAGAACAATCAGCAGATTCATCTCTGGTAATGACTCTATTTCATCCTCTGCAGCATATCTTCAAATGATTTCTGACATTGAATCGTTCAAGTTGAGCATGAAGCAATGGCTGAAATCAAGAAGCTCTGTGTATGAGAAGGCAGGAACCCGTTCTTTGGAGTTCACTTGTAATGTTTCCATCCGCAGCATACTTCGATTAGTTCCTAGGCAAATGTTCAAATTTATCAAAGTGAAAAGAACCAGTCACAATTATACTTGGGTGTTACCAGCCAATATTGTCAGCAGCAAGGTTTTCAGACAAGCTTTAGATCTGCCTTTAAAGTCAGCTCCACAACTGCAAGAGAACTTGACGCAGATTTTTCTAGGTTTTTCTCTTCTCATTCAAAGTCGATTACGCATTAACACAACGTTTCCTAGGTGGCCCAATGTACATTTCGATCAAGCGTGGCAATCTTGTGCTAGGGTTCGAAACCATTGCAAGCATTGGTGGCATGTTCGGAAAGCTTCAGTGGGATGATGCACGAGGCAGGAAGAGGAGATAAGTGTAATACAGATTTATCAATGAACCTAAACCTGATGCAAGGAGATTTCTAAATGCAAACCAATTGCTCAGTTTTCTACTCATCATTTTGTGGTCTTCTTGTTCGGCTTCCTCAGCTGACCCCTCCATCATTTCGTCATAAGCACGCTTTTTTGATCCTGCAGCATTTGACTCCATCACTCCCTTTCTCCAGCAAGGTCTTCCATAAATGCGATGTCGCAACTCTAAAGCTGACATACTCAAGCATCCTAATGTAATGTTCCGCTTGGAAAGATGATAGTGAAACATTTCTGCCACATGACCGGCAGCAAGCATGTGGAAGTATACAGCACTGAATAGTTCCTTGCTTCCACACTCAACCACATACTTCACCACGAATGTGTTGATTCTTGTTGCTAAGGTTTCAACGCTTTCAGGAGTAAGCTCTGAAACATGAGTACAAGACAAAGTAGCAAGCACAGAAGACAATTCAGTGAAAATTTCTTGCCATCGCTGCCTTTCTTCCACATTTTCGTACAACAATACCAAGAGAGGTCCCATGGCCACATTCATCAAGTCATCATACTGTTTCCCTGTCATGTTTGGAAGTTGCTTCTTGTCATTGAGCTCAAGCTTGTAGTTGATTCCACTCTTGTGTAGGATACTTTGTGCGGCACTGATCCTCTTTTTCTTCTTGGCCGTGAAGAAAATACTTTTCAAGGCGCAGTGAACAATCCTCATCTTGAGATGTAACATACAAAGAACGAGGCACATACATGTCAACCCGATATCTGACAACTTTTCATGATCCCGAGACATTCCATGGTCTTGTTTCAATACAACAACCTTTTGGCCCTTCTTCAACATGCCGGAGGTCTTGCTGGATCTGATCTTTGTAATATCTTGTCTGTTCAAGCTTTTCCCATCAAACATGCACGTATCAACGATGTTGTTTTTGCCACCATCCATCACCACGTCCTGCATCAGCCAAAACACATCTGGTCGGAGAGATCTGTCCTTGCAAAACTCATCTACTGTGGTTTCAGTTGCAACTTCGTTGATGTCGAAGATGCAATGGCGCTCCCCATTCTTCACTTTGCAATACAAGCAACAGGCGTGGTCAGGATTCTTTTGGCTGCCACCACCTGTGCGAATATCTTCAGTTCATGTTTAACACAAAGAGTTGATGAATTACCTGACATCCCCATGAGATCCCAAAATCCCTTCAAATCCCCACGAAAATCAATTTCTATTTCAATGACGAGATCAGGTGTGGAATTCGGATCACTGGCTGTTCTATCACGTCCCCCAATGCAGTTCAAAACCCCATCTTTGTCCTTGTAGAAGTGAAGTCCAGCTTTGATTTTCTTGATCTCTCCGTTCTCACAAGTGACAAACAGATCCTTCAAGATGCTTTTCAAATCAAAACCATAGACATTCCACAGATTCTTGTCAATATTCTCGATAGTGTCCTTCAGGTACAACAACAAGAAAGAGATATATGAAGCAGGCGAATTCATTCTGGTCTCCTGGTCAAACATAGAGTTTGCAACGTCAACCGCCTTGTTCCACACAGCTATGAGATTCATTGCAAACTCTGTCTGTTCTGTACCTGACTGAGCTGATGATCCCAATCTCGTGCTATCGAAACAGAGGGAAAGCACCAAGAATTCTACAAGGTACATGTTTGGATCTTCTCGCGCAAGCTTCATGAACAACAGTTCGAGCAATTTGAGAATGGAAGCACCATGTCCGCCAGGAAGTTCATTGATTCCGTCCACCATGTCAGTCACAAGCTTCTTCTGCTTGGCTCTCGAAGTACTGATAGAAGATGTACTTCCAAATATTTTGACTCCGCATTTTTTCATCATGTCATAAACGAATTTCAAAGATTTGTGTGTCAGCTGTTGACCCATAGTCAAGAGACCAACTTCATCCACGTTGGGAGCTATTGCATCATACAAGCTCTGGATGGCTTTTTTGACTTTGCGATTTCTCTCACAACGGCTGTCCAAATTCGGTGCAATTGCGTGAGCATATCCTGTCAAAAAATTTTCGAAATGAAACAATGAATCCGGATTTTGCCTCAACGTGGAAAGATGGCCGAATGCCTTTCCAGCCTGACTAGAGCCATTAAGCCCAGACATCTGACGAATACCTTTTGACAACAAAGCAGATAATGACCCAACCTCGGAGAAAATGTCTTTGAGAATTTTTTCCTTCCGATACTCGAACTCCTTGGGGATATCTTCGACATTCATGGGGCACTTATCATTGGGATAATTGGCTTTCCAAATGTCTTCGAACGTCAAGTTCAAAATTCTGTCTACGTTTGGCAACAACTCTTTCAGCGCCATATTTTCCCTAGTAAGCATTTCCTTTTCATACTGTAGCTGATTCACCTGACATGACAGACTGAAATATCCCTGTATGGTACTGCCGACAACAGATGCTGGTGAAAACAAATATCCATTTCCAACAAAGCTCATAAATGTGCTGACATCTGGTCTACCTTTGCAATCAAGGAAGCCTTCCATCCAAGCAAAGTACTCTACTCCCCTCCAGGTTTTCAGGTCCCATGACGGCAAACGACGGTCTGGCCTTGGACTGATCTGGTTCAAAGTCGAGGCAACCTGAGGGCTATCCAAATTCATTGGATAGAATTGATGGATGTTTTCCATATCTTGACAATGCAAAGGTCGACGATAGAAGCATGGATGGACTCGGAAAGGATCGAAGTTTTCTGCGCGGCATGATGATTGAGAAAACAAGTTTTGCACAAAAACATGAGTTTGTTGGTGGATTTTGTCCGGGAAAACTTTGTTGAGAAGCACAGGTTTCCACCATTCCAATGAAGAGTGAGAAAAGCACCAAAGATCCTCTTTGCAGTTTCAAATTAGAGAAAAAATATTGGTTCCTGTGGCCAAACTTTTCCATCCAGGGCTGAGCACAACAATCGAAGCTTATATAATAGTAGGATCCCACCCACCCCATGATCTGTCATTTTTCACTACCCCCTACCACCAAATTACTATTATTTTCATTAGTTGATGGGGGTTAATTATTTGGTAGGTAGGGTAGTCAACTGCGATTGTGTTTCTCCTACCCACCCTAGGAAAAGAGAGAATCGAAGGGGTACCGAGCACAATTGTGTGTTTGATGTTAGATCAGATCATGGGGGAACACAGTACAAGTTACCCTACCCCCACATAACCTTTAGGTAGGGGTTCCATCAAATTTGATACCGGTACTGCCTATGAAAATATAAGTCTAAAGATGGGTGCTTGATAGGTATTACAGGGTTATATCTGTAATGGGGTGGGTAGTCGACCAGCGTGGTATTTTTTTTTCACCCCCCCCGACCCTTCAACAAGTGATTATAGTTCAAGCCAATCTGTACGAGATATTCTTCTTAAAATCAACTTGTTGAAGAGGTTAAAAGGGTGGAGTCCAATCCTTGCTCAAATATTTGGCCTACCCCACCTTAAGACATATGATATAAAAACAAGGGGTAGTCATCGGCTGTCTTGCCTGAGCGGACGGGTGCCTAGAAGATTCAGAAACTTTTTGGTACAAAATTTGTACGAAGGGGTCAGGACCCCTCTGGTACAAAACATGCAACGATTTGGAACAAGTATTTTAAAGCCCGTACAAACAAAATGGTCTGGTACAATAAATTCCAGAAGGGACTTGGAACGGAATGACGCCCGGCCAACCGGTATCTGGCGACATTCGCTCAAGCCAGTGCGGCGACTCCCGACACTGTGACGCCACTGTCAACCGTACTCAGGGCGGTAGCTGGCGACGGGGGCCGCTCACTGACTGAGTGAGCCTTTCCGGATCATGAGCGGCATGCCATGATGATGACACGCCAACGCCGTATGGCTCCGAGCCTTGAAAGTTGTCGGACAGCCAGTGAGATACACGGTGCCCCGAGAAAGCTTCGACTCGATTGTGACCAAGCAGCCTATAGCAACGAAGAAGATGGCCTTGAAAGTGACGTCCAAGGCTTACAAAAGGCGCTTTAAAGGCTCAAGTGTTACCCTTAACAGACAAAAATTTCACGTGAGCTCTGCTCCCTATGAGACCTAAAGACTCAGTGAAACCAAGAGGTATTTACTACAACCTGACAAAACCGAAATACAAAAGTTCCTCTCCACAAAATACACTAGACAAGGTCTTGCTCCCTTAGCCAAATCACTCCTTCCCTGACCCTCATCTCCATGAGAAGACACCTCTACACCCCGCACGCCTCCCTCGCCATGCCTCTACCTCCTCCAGAAGCTCCGCCGCCCTCGGCCTCTCCTTTCCCTCCCCTGCCCATGATCGCCTCATCATCCCCTGTAGCTCTCTCGGAACCCGATCGTTGAGAAGCGACGGACGGAAGTCGTGCTTGGCCGCCATGCTGGCCACCGAGTGTCCGTCGATGTTGCAGAAGGGATGCTCCCCGGCGAAGATGTACCACATCACCAGCGAGAAAGAGTACACGTCCACCGCCGCCGTGTACTGACCCTCTCCCCGGAAGATCTCCGGCGCCATGTACCGGTACGTCCCCGTTGTGCCTGTCAGCTCCGTCGACATGAACGACTCGTCCGACAAGAAGCCGCCAGACCCCCTGCCCCCTCCCGGTGTCAGCGGCGCCTTGCCCGGGCTCAGCGGACACATGCGGCTGAGCCCGAAGTCCCCGATCTTCACCGTCCTCCCGTCCTCCGTCAGCAGCATGTTGGCCGGCTTGATGTCTCGGTGGATCACCGGCGGCTTCTGCGCGTGCAGGTACGCCAGCGCGCTCAGGATGTCCTCCACCCACGACACTGCCCTCCTCGTCTCGGGCCGCCAGCGCCCGTCCCGTCGCGACTTCTTCTTGGCCTCGTAGTACTGCTCCAGGCTCCCCCCCGGCATCAGCTCCATCACCAGCCACGGCAGCCCGTCGTGCTCGTAGATGCCGTAGAACTCCACCACGTTCTTGTGCCGGAACGCGTGGCTCATCATGCCGATCTCCTTGAGCAGGTCCTTGCCCTCCTCGGACCGGGCGTCGAGCTTGGAGCAAAGAGTCTTGACGGCGACCTGCCTGCCGTTATAGAGGGCGCTCCTGACCTCCCCGCAGGAGCCTTGGCCGAGGACGTCACCGAAGGTGAGGGAGGATCGACGGATGGCGAAGGATCCGCAGCGGTCGATGTCATTTTGCTTGAGGATGTTATGGTGGAAGACGAGGTCAAGGAAGATGGGGCAGTCGTCCTGAAGGGAGGGTCTACGCACAAATCCAAGCTTTACATCTTCGGTATCGATTTTCATTTCCTTGGTTGGCTTTGATGGCTCAATTTGCAATTCATCTGCGTTGCATTTGGCTGGGGGCTTATCGATGGTGAATTTTTCTGAGGATTCTTTGATCTCTATTTCAAGTGTTTGTTGTGATTGTTCGCTTTGGCACATATTTGTCTGGATTTCAGCTGGCCTTACTAGATGTTGTCTTTGTTGTTGATGATGATTGTGTTCATACTTTGATCTTCAACTTGCTGTCACTTCCGACACTGTCAATCTATGATGCTGGCGGAGCTCTTCCTTGTGTACGCGCTGTATGACTTGGTTTGGGCCAGAACGAAAAGTTTCGAAGGGGGTATTTTGTGTGTAAAAGGAAGGGGTAGTGTTGCGAGGTTAATCTCAAACGCATGTACCAAATTTACAACACATCTGGTGAATTTACTGATCTCAAAGGGACCCCTAAAAGGGGTGGTCAGGGAGTGCCATGGGGGGTACGAGTTCTCATTGAAGTTAACCACGACCCTTGACTTTAAAGCGGTGCATGGGACGTGAGCGATTGAAAGCCCTTTCAGTCACGTACGACTGTGGGATAGGCTGTAACCGCTATGTAACGGAGAAAAAGTTAACCTTCAAGCGCAAAGGCTTCCTCTTTGAAGCCATCACCTACCCATAGATTCAAGCACTTCAAGGGGAAAAAGGGTGGGTGGTCTATCCCACCTTCTTTCTCGGCCGGATTTAGACCTGCCAACGGTAAGTTCAAGATGTCTCACAGAGTCAGTCATGTGTCCGGTACCTCATAGGAAGATGACTAAAGATTTCGACTGCGAACCTTACAAAAAAAAGGAGAGAGTAGTAGTATTGGTAGCCTCTGGTAGCCTCCTCTATTCTCCTTATTGTCCTCGTACTGAGTTTTACTTAACTTTGAGTAAAGAGATTGGTGTGGATAGAAGCCCCGGAGAACTCTTACTGGATTCAACGTGTAAAGCGACAGCACGTCGTTCAAGGTTCAACAGCAACGTAAAGAGACTTAGTGCTGTACATGGGGGACCGTTCGATGTGATTGGGTAAACAGCCTTGAAAACAGCCTGAAACCACCCTTAATGATATGTGAATCTTATCACCTTCCCTTGCGTCTGCAGGGTGTCAACAAGCTGATGAATGGCTTTCACCTCATTCACAACCCGCATCATGCTCCCATGCACCTTGATCGCACACTTCTCAGCGTTCTCCTTACCAACTTATTCACCCATGAGCTCGAGCATATCATACCACGCAGCTCCCTGACAAAGTCAACCACACTCTCTTCCCCGCTCTTCCCTTCTCAAACAAAATGGTGTATTGACAAACATAAAGAAAAACAATCTAGAAATCACACGTATGTAAACGAAGCTATCTCAAACTATCTATTGCCTAACATCGCCGACAATGCATGAACAAAACAACCGCTGCGAAAATTGCTCTGCATTCGCCATGCCTCTACCTCCTCAAGAAGCTCCGCCGCCCTCGGCCTCTCCTTCCCCTCCCCCGCCCATGATCGCCTCATTATCCCCTGTAGCTCCCTTGGCATCATCCGCTCGCTCAGCACTGCCGGACGACACTCGTATTTAGCTGCCATGCTGGCCACCGAGTATCCGTCGATGTTGCAGAAGGGATGCTCCCCGGAGAAGATGTACCACATCACCAGCGAGAAAGAGTACACGTCCACCGCCGCCGTGTACTGACCCTCTCCCCGGAAGATCTCCGGCGCCATGTACCGGTACGTCCCTGCTCTGGCTGTCATTTCGCATTCGATACCAAGATCGAGTTTGTCCGCCATCTCTGAGTCTTGAAGATTGCACGCTCCCCAGGATGGGCATCTCCTACTCACTCCAAAGTCCCCGATCTTCACCGTCCTCCCGTCCCCCGTCAGCAGCATGTTGGCCGGCTTGATGTCTCGGTGGATCACCGGCGGCTTCTGCGCGTGCAGGTACGCCAGCGCGCTCAGGATGTCCTCCACCCACGACACTGCCCTCCTCGTCTCGGGCCGCCAGCGCCCGTCCCGTCGCGACTTCTTCTTGGCCTCGTAGTACTGCTCCAGGCTCCCCCCCGGCATCAGCTCCATCACCAGCCACGGCAGCCCGTCGTGCTCGTAGATGCCGTAGAAGTCCACCACGTTCTTGTGCCGGAACGCGTGGCTCATCATGCCGATCTCCTTGAGCAGGTCCTTGCCCTCCTCGGACCGGGCGTCGAGCTTGGAGCACAGGGTCTTGACGGCGACCTGCCTGCCGTTGTAGAGGGCGCTCCTGACCTCCCCGCAGGAGCCTTGGCCGAGGACGTCGCCGAAGGTGAGGGAGGATCGACGGATGGCGAAGGATCCGCAGCGGATAAGCTCCTTTTTGTGTATTTTATGGTGGGAGGCGAGGTCAAGGAAGACGGGGCAGTCGTCCTCGAGTGAAGATGGCGTTCTTTTGAGGATTTGCAGTTTTGTTGTTTTCTCCCCGTAATTGATTTCTATGAAACCATACCTGGAGAAGAACGTTGGATCAATCTCTAGTGCCAACATCCTGCAGTTTGACTCGAAGGACGAACGCTCGGAGCAGCTATCGGTATGGCACATCTGATCGCCTTTGTCTTCCCTTGCAACCCTATGGTACCTAGCTGCGGCTTTTCCGCGTGCCGTTGATACGCCTCCAAGAGGGTAAAATGAGATGTGGAGGTTTGGTTGGTATCAAAAAAAAGTTAGCTAGTTCATTTTTGTTTTTTAAAAAAGTTCACACTTTTACTACCAAATGTTACGTACCTTCAACTTTACTACACAAATTGCACCTCTTGGCGGAGCGAAAGGTCAACTGACAGGTCAACTTCGAGAGTGATCCTAGTTTACTACTGTCTATTCCCTCTCCATATCAGGGTACGGCATATGTCCGGGCCCGGCCTGCCGATCCGGACAGACCAGGACCCGGCCCGGCCTCTGAACTGACTGTCCATCGAGGGGGGCTCGGTTGCAGATGTCCATAAAAAATGGCCATGGTGGTGCGCTGCGAGGGAGGAGGGGACGCGATGGTTGGAATCGACGAGTGGAACCAAAGATGGATGATTGCAAGAGGAAGGATGGAAACGGAGGAGCGGAAAGGAGAGAAGGAGGAGGGAGGGGGGAAGAGAGAGGGAGGGAAGACGTCGCAAAGGAAGAAAGACAAAGAAGGTGGTGAGGGGATTGCCGATGACTTGAGCGAGAGGATAAAGTCGATTCTTCGGGGTGGAGAGGAGATTCCATGGCTTACAGACCTCAAGGTGAGGTTGTGCGAAAAGATCGGTCGGCCGATCAAGATGAACGTGATGAATGCAAGGAGTCTTGATATTGTTCATGCTCCTTCAAGCATTGGCTGTTTCCTTTCAGGAATTTTGTGCTCAGACCTGAGGAACTTTCTTCTCTTTTTTTGTAGTGGCCGCTCCGCTGCATTGTTGTGTTGTACATGCAGGTGCGATTGTGAATGCACTTTGTTTTGCATGTTTGGGTAAACTTGTTTTAGGTTGCTCAAGCATAAGTGCTCAAACGAAGAGATCTGGCGCCATTATCACGCGAGACTGGTTCAGAGAGAGTGCAGGTTGGGCCTATATGGACTTCTCAGCAAGGTTGCTCACATCTTGATAGACAACATGCTCTTTTCAACTCAGCAAGTGACTTGTTCGACTGTTACATCAAGAGATGTCAAAGTCGCTGCAATCTCAAGGAGTTGTACGGTATGAGAATGGTAGTGAAGTTGAAAGATGCCGTATCTCCGTTTTAAGTTGATGTGCAGGAAGCGAGGAGGAATGTGAATAGCGCGTGGGTAGATGTGTTACAGTTCTTTCCTTGGTGAGGTTGATTTTCCACAATGATCGTACATGTGAGAAAGCATTTTTTCAGTACTAGACTAAATCCCGGGGTTTCGGAACTAGACATCATGCGAATTGAACAGCACATCGAAATTATGTTTCCTCTGGAGGTTTGTGAATATTCGATCTTTTTGATGTTTGAAACGAAGAATGACTTGTCGTTCGAACACTGAACAGCTTCGAGAACTGTACAGACTAGCCGACGGAGAAGAGTCTGGCTTCGACCGCTTCACAGTCAACGGGCTCTTCAATGGAATGCGATTCTTGCCGTTCCATGGTGAGAAGAGAGATGGAAGTGGACTCGAGGAAGAATAACAACATGAAACATGAAAGAAGCTTGTGAAGTCGCAACAAGGCAAGAAATCCCGCTCGTGGGCATGCCGAATGTCAGCCGGTGAACGTCACTCCTTGCATCGCTCCGTGTTGGCATGTGGGGAACTGAAGGGAGTCGTTCCCAGTGAAGATTGTTTGTTCCCCATCAGCTCGCTGGCAGGGCATGGCGAAGTAGGTGAGCTGATTGCGATAAGTTGTCGTTTCGTCACAAACACGTGTATGTGTATTGCTGCGAAGGCGAATGGTACGGCATTTCCGGCCAAGGGAAAGTCTTCAAGGCAGCTCGTGAGCGTTTGAGGCGACTTTTCACTGAAAATCAGGTTGCAGGTGTCGGGGATGTTCAAGAGGTCGAAAGGACCTCTTTCAGAGTTCCTGCGATCGCTGTTGCGATGAAGTTGCGCTGGAAGATGAATGTCCGTCAAGAGTAGTAAAGATTGTAGAGTCGCGATTGAACCTCCCCAGTACTGCGCATATTCTCAGTGAAAAAAACGTTGTTGGTCTGTTTATTGTGAGAAGGTGTTCAGCATTGAGGAGGGCAATGGGCAAACCCTTCAGGTGACTGAATGTGATGCTGGAATGCAGACAGCGAGCAAGTTGGAGAACCTGCTGAATGGCCAAACCCAGGGGTTGGGGAAGTGACCGAGCGCTCGGTCACATTCGTTCCATCACTGCGAAGCCATGGTCGGGTCAGAACAGTCCGCCTTCAACGATCTTCCCTCACCTTCGGCAGCGTCCTCGGCCAAGGCTCCTGCGTGGAAGTAAAACTGCATTGCCGGCCGTCCTCGGGTCAAAAACACGTAAAGTGGACATCAGAACTGAAGAACTCGAAAAGACTGCTTTTCAATACCGTACCAAATCTCTGTTTCACCCCGAAATTCCCCTATAACAGTACCCCACCCCCCTTGTCAAAACTCGCGGAAAGTCCTGGTCCCCTTGGCATGCGCAAGGACCGTTGGCGACTGGCGATGGAGAAGTCAGGTTGAGCACTGAAGATCGTCAAGCCAGGAAGTTTGCATCCTGACAACAACATCATCACTGTGACAAGAGCATCATCGTTGAGGTGCAGATGATCTCCTATCAAGAGCTCAGAAAGAAGTACTACGTTGCCTGCAACCTCGAATTTCGCCACAATCTGCAGGCTGAGCTTTTTCCTGTACAAGAATCCCCCGAGCGAGCAGCTTGTAGCTCTCCTCAGGTAGAGACGATCATCGTGCAAGACCAGGAAGAGAAGAAGAAGACTCCGAGAGCTATCAAACCGAGCGCCCTCAAGAAACGATCCTCCCTCGATCAAGATTGCCCCGTCTTCCTGCAGCTTGCCGAAAAGCACAACGTACTCAAGGAGCAAGACCTTGACCGTTGCGAGACTTTCGTCATACAGAAGACTTCTCTAATGGTCGGCCACTTGATAGGAAGAGGAGCCTCGGGTGAAGTCAGGAGAGCCGATTACATGGGGAAGAAAGTTGCCGTTAAGACCTGGCGCGACCTTGGCTCCGAGGAGGGCAAGGACCTGCTCAAGGAGATCGGCATGATGAGCCATGCCTTCCGGCACAAGAACGTGGTGGACTTCTACGGCATCTACGAGCACGACGGGCTGCCGTGGCTGGTGATGGAGCTGATGCCGGGGGGGAGCCTGGAGCAGTACTACGAGGCCAAGAAGAAGTCGCGACGGGACGGGCGCTGGCGGCCCGAGACGAGGAGGGCAGTGTCGTGGGTGGAGGACATCCTGAGCGCGCTGGCGTACCTGCACGCGCAGAAGCCGCCGGTGATCCACCGAGACATCAAGCCGGCCAACATGCTGCTGACGGAGGACGGGAGGACGGTGAAGATCGGGGACTTTGGAGTGAGCAGGAGATGCCCTCACTCGCTTAGAAACGGTCTGCTGACCCCGAGGTCTATCGTCATGACTCCGAGGAGCTCGCGCGATCCCAGCCCTTTCGCAAGCGACTTGTTTGGGCCGGAGCTGACAGGGGCGGTCGGCACTTACCGGTACATGGCGCCGGAGATCTTCCGGGGAGAGGGTCAGTACACGGCGGCGGTGGACGTGTACTCTTTCTCGCTGGTGATGTGGTACATCTTCGCCGGGGAGCATCCCTTCTGCAACATCGACGGACACTCGGTGGCCGGCATGGCAGCTAAGTACAACTTCCGTCCGGCAGTGCTGAGCGAGCGGATGATGCCGAGGGAGCTACAGGGGATGATGAGGCGATCATGGGCGGGGGAGGGGAAGGAGCGGCCGAGGGCGGCGGAGCTTCTGGAGGAGGTCGAGGCATGGCAGGAGAAAAAATCGAGGTGTGAACAGCTTTCATTTCGTCGTTTCTTCCCGCATCGCAAGCGTTGAGAAGCTGTCCCTTTCTTTTCCAGTGTTGTATTTGATAATTATTCCTTTGTTAAGACGCTGATGCATTTAACCCTTTTGTGGAGGTGTGTTTAGAATCTTGTTTTACAGTCTGTCTAGAGGGATAATACCATAATCCTCCATTTTCGTTTTGAATACACAAGATTGTTTTGAGGAAGAGAGCTTTACCAAACAAAACTGGGCTGGCCGTAAAAAACAAGAGACGAAAGGGTCATCGACGAGCTATACGACGAGCTATAAAGCTATGCGATGTCATAACAAATATTGCAGGAAGGGCATACCTGGCAAGAGACCATCGCGTCAGAGTTTGTTTTCGTCAAGGAAGTTTCCTTGCAAGCTCTGACATCTTATCAAACCAACTTCGATTCTGAGCTTGTCCTGGTAATGCCGTTTGACTCTTCTAAAGTGCCACGTCACTACCTAGCTTCAGTCAATCTTCTCTGATAACCTTGAGCTCCTTTGGGCGTGGGACGCATGTGGCGTCCTGATGACCAAATCCGGTCAGTTTTCTTCGCGTGAAAGCAAGAAAGGGTACATGAGGGCATGGAGGTGGGACCTGTCAGATTGTGAGAAAAAAACATGAAAGTCCATGCTCTTGGTAGCAGATATCATGAGAGACAATATCATTGTTAGCAAACATCATCAGAGACCCGCCCTTGTGAGTAAACATCATACAGATCATTTTCTTGTGGGCTGACAATTTGAGGTTTGAATTGCAGATACAATTAGATACAAGAAGTACAGTCGGTAAGAAGCCACAGCATACAAGAAAAGATCACAAATCATTCACGTCATGTAAACTTGTTTCAAATGTTGCTCACGTCAACACACCGGATAAAGAATCTCCGTCCTTTCCCAGTTCCGTATGCGCATCCCTGCACACTAAAAGCAGAGTCAGCTCTGCACCTCCCTCACCTTCTATCCCTGTCTCCAAATCTCCTTCACTTGCTTGCTCCTCCTCTTGCTTTTCTCTTAGCCTGAGCCACTCTCTCTCTCTTCCACTGTCTCTCCTCTCTATCTCTCTCACCCCCTTCTTCCCTCCTGAGCTCTCCCTGCTACTGTCTCGCTCCCTTCCTCTCTCACTCCCTGCCCTGCCTCTCCTCTCCATCTCTCCCTGCCACTGTCTCGCTCCCTTCCACGCACGCACATCTTACCTCTCGTTGTATCTGAAAATCCCTCCTCCGATCTAGAGCCTTCAGGCGAAGCTTGTTGTACTCGCTAATGAGCTATTGGGCCAATGATGAGGGGAGGGAAGGCGGGAGAAGGAGAAGAAGTAGCCAAGGGAGAAGGAGCAGGAGTACACAAGAGGATGAGCAGGAGTACACAAGAGGAGGAGCAGGAGTACACAAGAGGAGGTGGAGTAGTAGACGAGAGAGGAGGAGCAGGATTACACAAGAGGAGTAGTACTAGTAGACGAGAGAGGAGGAGGAGGAGTAGACAAGGGAGGAGGAGGCAAGGGAGACGAGCAGCAAACATACTTTGCTCCTCTCTTCCACATCGACACTCTTGTTGATCCTCCACGCGCACACGTCGAGCTCGAGCAGGGCATAGTTCACCTTCTCCTCTGTCCTTCGTTACAGTCAGCTTCACCTTGAAATCCCTAAGGAGATCTGTCCTACCTTTTGAGGGAGTGTGCAGTCTCCTGTATTATTTCCTGTTGCAGCTCGTCTATGCTAGAATCTAGAGTTTTCTAGTAGGACAAACTTCAGCATCTGCCATGAATGGAGCAAGCTAACACACCGCCTTGCCACCCAACTTGTTCTCAAGTCTATCAAGGTACCTTGATGAACAAGGTCATGATCGCAAGTCAGCACACTGAGGTAACTCTTACTCGCTCTCGAAACCTTCGTCCTTCAATCCCCTAGCCAACCGCTCCCATGGATTGTTTCCGAAGCTAAACTTCCACATTCAGCACACAGCACCTCACTCACGTATCACCTCAGGAGGTAGGACAGCATCCTCCTCGCTCCTGCTCCCTCCATCCCCTCCTTTGGCGCGACCCAACTTTTGATGTGACAATCAAACAAAAAAGATTCGTCGGGCAGCGATAAGCTCATACCTCTTCATCAGAGCTCGCCGATGTCGAAGTACCCCAGAGAGGCCCTGGATAGGCAAGTCAGCACAAAGGAACTGCCCGTCCTCACCATCCTACCTTTCCTGCACGTAGTGTACCTCTTCTTCCCCCCCCTCTGTTCCCCCTCCTACTTCCCTTTCATCTCTCCTCTGCTTTCCTCCCTTCCTCCCTTCTCTTCTATTTCGGTCTTCACATCCTTACTCTCTCCTCCCTCCCTCCTCCTCCTCCTCCCCCACCACCTCTTGCACTTGCCTGCATACTGGGTCTCCTTTGTGTATCGATCTGCAGCGAATTGACTACAATACTTACTAGTATGTCCTGTATATTGATTATGGCACTTTCAGAGTCTTTGAACATTGACTATAAACCTTGATGATCCGGAATGCAGTAAAAAGGAAGAAAGCCATGGCGAGGAGAGAGGGAGGAGAGGGAGAGAGAAGAGACAGGGCAGGGGAGACAGGGCAGAGGAGACAGGAGAGGAGGGGAGGGGAGGGGAGGAGGGGAGGGGAGGGGAGGAGGGGAGGGGAGGAGAGCGCAACGGTTCTGGAGCAAGGAATGGTGCCCAGAGGAAAATTCGCTTTCAATGCCATACTCCTGTACTTGCTTCTTTCGCTGCCCCCCTCCCTCTCTTTCCCTCCATCTACCATCTTCTCGTCAAGGAGTCGCAACGGACTGTCAACTTGTCCCATCATTCGGATCCAACGAGTCACTAGCCTGTCAGGCCAGCGGGACGTTGCAAGTTCAGACCTTCTACCGCCTCCTACAACTCAACTCAGCTCCTTCAGCTATAACGTGCATGTCCTCCTTGCTATGATCTACAGCATCTTTACCATCCCGCTGGTTGCCGTCCTGAAGCTGCTGGGCGTTATCAGGAGGCAGGAATACCGCTTCGAGGACATGCGGGGCAAGGTAGTGGTAGTGACAGGCTCGAGCTCTGGGGTAGGGTTGTGTACTGCAGCCAGTCTGCATGCGAGTGGAGCGACGGTGATCATGGCGTGTCGGTCAGTGGAGCGAGGAGAGCGAGCGAAGAAGGAAATCCTTGAGGACTGGGAGAGACGAGGAGGAGGAGGAGGAGGAGGAGGAGGAAGAGGAGGAAGAGGAGGAGGAGGCAGTCTGGTGGCTGATGTCGGGCTCGAACCGCACCATGGCGGACAGTTGATCGTGAAGGAGCTGGACACTTCGGACTTTGACAGCGTGAGGAGCTTTACAGCAGACATGAAGGAGAGTTTCAGCGAGCTGCACGTGCTAGTAAACAACGCGGGGACCAACGGGAAAGACGCCTCGACCCCCCAGCTGTCCAAGCAGGGGAGAGACTATGTCTTTGAGACGAACTTCGTAGGACACTTCCTCCTGACCCTGTGCCTAGAGGGGATGCTAAGGAGAGCCCGGGGCCGGGTAGTCAACCTTTCGTCCGTCATGCACCACTGGGGAACTAAAGATGTGACTCGGACCCTTAAGTCAGCGAGGAGGAAGAACAGCTACAGGGACTCGAAGCTTGCTATGCTGCACTTCACCGCAGAGATCAGCAGGAGGTGGAAGGGGGACGTCGCTGCTATCGCTGTCAACCCTGGGTTCGTGTCAAGTGACATCTGGCGAGGAGTTTCACGGCAGGGAGTCAAAGGATGGCTGTTTGACCGCTTCCTCTCCTTCCTCGCTCTCTGTCCAGCTGAAGGCTGCGCTACCTCTGTTGTTGCTGCTGCCATGCAGCTGAACAGCAAGGAAGAGGGGAAGGCCGGAGGGGGGCAAGCTTCCAGGAAGAAGGAGATACAGAGGACGAGGCATGAATGCTTGTACCTTGTGCCTTACGTTCTTCCTGCGGGGATCAGGTTGCCTTTTGAGGTCATGGGGCCGTTCATGCGTAAGTTGACGACCGTGATCGACGGATAAAGCTCACTCTGTCAACAGATCCGAGGTGGGCGACACCTAGGCTACCTGCTGGGGAAGGTAGGAGATCTTAGCTTGTTCGTGAATGGGCTGATGTAACTGCAGTTGAGATTTCGTCACGTTTTTGGGAGATGTGCGAAGAGGTCACGGGGATGAAAGGCTAGGAGATGAGAGGTAGAAGAGAGGTAGAGGAGAGGAGAGGAGGAGCAGAGGTACGGCAGGGCAGGTGCATGGCATGGCAGGGCATGGCGGAGCAGAGAAGAGAGGAGGAGGAGGAGAGGAGGAGGAGGAGGAGGAGGAGAGATAAAATTTGGTCTGAAGTTGCAGGAGCGCAGGCAATTAGAAGCGAAGAGAGGAGAGCAGGTGACGGCTGGAACAGGATCAAACGTGCAGGACAAGAGTGTTTGCATCGCACGCGATGAATACAAAGAATATTTATCTGTCAGTGTTTGTGTTGTTCGACTTTTGAGATGTACAAGGGTGAGCACTGGCCTTGCTATCGAGCCATCCTCAAACGGGAAGGTGTTTCCCTCCGTTCGCCGACCTTTCCCTCATTTCCCTCCTCCTCTGCTCCGATTCCAGAGAAAAAAATCAAATCGATCGTCCTGTCGTGGCGAACGAGGAGTTTGCGGGGAGTTCTCCTGTACGACTCCAGCTGAGGAGAACCTTTAAAAACTCTCTGCTTTCTGACACAGTCCTGTGAACCCCCCCGGGAGAGAGGGTCTTCAAGGCCAATCAGCGGTAGGGTACCCTTGGAACTTTGACAGCAGCTGCGCAGTATCGCCGTCAGGCCGCAGGGCTAGTCAAAGTTTCCTACCTTGACAAAGTAGTAGACAGGGGCAGCTGTCAGCATGTAGCTGTCAATGCGGTCAAGGATTCCTCCATGTCCTGCTGGGGTGTCAGCTGAGGGCAGACTCAATGAGTCCGCTCACCAGGAAGAAGATTTCCAGTGTCCTGCAGTCAAGTGAGCACGAGGGCGAGGAAGACGCATCGTGCTCTTGCTCACCTTGACTCCAGCATCCCTCTTGAAAAGCGAGACTGTCAAATCTCCCAGCAGGCCCAGAGCAGAGATCATGAAGCCGTAGAATGGGCCGGTTATCCACCTTTACCACCTTCAGAGCTAGGCTGCTCCGACCCGTCTCGCTACCTGACCCTTCCTCCCCTCCCTCCCTCCTCCCTTCTACTCTCTCATTTTCAGGCAACTATACTATTCCACCTTCCTTATCTTCCTTCTTCAACCTCTCCTAGCCCTTCCCCCCGTTCTCCTCTTCCTCCTTCTTCTCCTCTTCCTCACTCCAACTTACCACAGGGGCCATCCCATGAGACGAGCTCCAGTGGTCGCAAAGATCGAGCAGAGGGCGACCCCTCCGAAGAATCCCTCCATCGTCTTGTTGGGGCTGACCGATATTCCAGTCCAGTCACTCAGCTTCGTCTTTCCAAAGTTCTTCCCCGCAAAGTAAGCTCCGACATCTGCCGGGGCGTCATAAACCCTCCAGCTGCCCCCCACCTGGGGCAGCGCGGGGGAGCTCACCGGAGGCCGCGATGGATATCATGGTCCACCAGGTGACGACGGCGCCTTGGGTGAAGATGTCAGCGGATCCGAGCCCGAGGAAGGAAATCCATTGCATGGTCTCGTGCATCATGGGGACTGCCATGACCCGGCTCACTTCCTCCGACGGGATCACGCCGAGGGCCCGCAGTCGAACCCAGAAGGAGGCCAGGTATCCGACGTAGAATATGCCCATGAATGTAGTCTGCACTGAGGAAATTGTCGTCTTCTCCGACCTCTTCAATGTCAGGAGGTAGCCAACGATCAGTATGTACGCCACCGGGAGCACACAGTCCGTGTAGGCGAACGGGAGGCCGTAGGCAGTCCCGCATGCTGTCATGTACATGCTCCATAGAACGACAGTCCCGCACTTCTTGGCTGGCTTACACTCGTTGCTGGCCCGCTCTGCCATGCCGTAGTACTCCAGCAGGGCCCTTGAACCAGCCACCCCGCAAACTAGAGCAAAGGCCCAGGTGCCTGAGAAGATCCAGGCAGACACCAGAGCTCCCAGCACGACAGAGGTGAAGACTCTTTTCTGTAGCCCCAGCATCTTTCTAATGTTGGAGTTCTTCTCATACTGTACAGTCCCTGGTTCGCCCTCCAGCTGGGGCGGCACCTGGGATAGAGACGGGCCAAGAGGGATGGCGGCCATGACGCACATGACGACAACGAGGATGATGGGGAATAGAGAGCCGCGCAGAGCAGACATCGGGATGATGGTGGAGGCCTAGAGGGCACAAGGCAGGGAAGTCAGCGTTCGAGGAGGAGGAGGAGCAAAAATGTATCTACGTCGGGAAGCAGCTCTTTGGGGAGCAGGGCGACGGCAGTTTGACGAGTCGGCGGCCGTCGAACAGCGGTTGCTAGCCTCCTCCCGTCCCGCCAGCATGGATGTAATCTGGTATGAGCAAACCTGTTGAGAGCAAGTGGAGCAGGGGATTGCGGAGCGAGGCTGTGGAATCCTAGACAGTGGGGCAGGATGGAGGCCCCAAGTGCGAGCAGCACCATCAGACAACCGGGGAAAGGATGCATGCCTGACAACGCAAGAGTCTCTGCCGTGCTAAGAGAACATCTTGTTGCGACCCCCTGTACACGATTTGTGTTAGCTCAGGACAAAACCTCTGCAGGAGGAGCTCTCGTCACTGTTCTGATTTATGTCTGACGTAGATGACTCTTACTACATAGTACGCATTCAAGTCTATGGAGCATCTATAGTCGACGTCAACAACCCTGCCTCTGATGACATGACACTCATTTCACGTGTATCAAGCGTGTAGTTCCTACTGATTCATATGGGTCCCCTGTCAGCACCAGGAGCCTTTGTGCTCGAGGATGAGCTGATTCCCTCCTTCATTTCGCATGTATTCGATTACGCAAATGATTGATACCTATATCTGTGATTGCTTCGGATTCGTCTACTTCAATATAGTGCTCGTGTCTCTTCAAAGTCAATGTTGTTCTCGTATGTTATGATCTAGCTGTCATGCACCACTACAACAACCAGGTTCAAAGTCAATGTTGTTCTCGTATGTTATGATCTAGCTGTCATGCACTACTACAACAACCAGGTTCAAAGTCAATTTTGTTCTTGTATGTTATGATCTAGCTGTCATGCACTACTACAACAACCAGGATACAACCTCGTTGGGGCCCCACAACTTGCCTCCCTGCTCTAACATTGTTACGGCCTCCGGACGAATACTTCAGAGCCCCACCCCCTACTCGCCTAAAAGATTTTCAATGGACGGGTAGCAGATAAAAGTACCCGTCCTAAAAATGAAGGACCGGTAGTCTGAATGGGTAAAAGAGGGGTAGTCTTGACGTGGCATGATTCTGACCGTCCATAGCCGGGTCCTCCAACGTATCGCCAGCCGCCACCGTCCGACCGGGAGGCTCAACTGATAGGCTGCTCAGTGACTCGGAACTACCGCCGGCCCCGGCCGGGCGGCCCGACCCCGGCCCGGTCGCAGCCGCGGCCTGATCGGAGGCTCCGACTGTGAGGCCGGGCCGCGGCTGCCGGCCAGGCGCCGCAGTGAGCCCGCCTCTCGGATGAGCACCGGAGTCCCGGTCCGAGTTCGAGTCGACGGTTCCGAAGTTCGTTTGCCAAGTTGGCGAGCGGCTAGATCATAAATCGGAACTTGCCGAATATGGGCCCGGCATGAATGATGATTGTCCGGGCCTGAAGTTTCTCAGCCCGGCGCTATCCAACCGTTAGATCGACGGACAACTATCATGATCGCGTCGGATCAGATTGTTGCGTCGAAGGGGGGAGTTATAGACCAAATCGATGACTGGAAGCAAAATTTGCAAACCCCGATGAAAAGAGATGGTTTCGACGGGGAAACCCCTTGAGCACCCTACCTACCTTTGTCTATGCCCAAAAAGGGGTGCGGGTGCCTCAGATACAGAGAGAAATGGTTCCACCTTGAGCGTGTGAGAGAACCGCGCGCTGACATGACGAGGCAGCAGCAGGGGCATCAGCATGCTGACCTGTCGCACTAGCCTAGTAGAGGTGAGGGGATGAAAGAGCTTGAGGAGGGAGTGGAGCTCTGGACGCTGACTCATTTCCAGATGTTGTGTTGAAAGATATTGTGTTGAAAGATGTTGTGTTGGATCATGAAAGCCTTACCTAGAAAAAGCCATCTAGATCTATGCAGCAGTGTGATCTAGTCATCGAAAGCATGACGACAAACGACACTTGGCTACTCACTGGGCAAATGCGAGGGAGAGCTCATACGCACAGAAATGCAGTGTAGTGTACTTGAAGAGGATTGACAGGACGTGGTTGAAATGCTCATTGCGTGATGTGGTGTTGTCAGGCATCGATCATCGTAGGAGAGAGATCCCATCCAATCCCAGCGCAGGCTGGATTTAGTCTTGATGATACCACTAGTAGGTAGATCTTGATGCTTTAGTCTTGATGATACCACTAGCAGGTAGATCTTGATGCTTTAGTCTTGATGATACCACTAGTAGGTAGATCTTGATGCTTTAGTCTTGATGATACCACTAGCAGGTAGATCTTGATGCTTTAGTCTTGATGATACCACTAGTAGGTAGATCTTGATGCTTTGTACCTCATGCAATATCCACATGTCGACATGTTGAGGTGTAGAGAGGAGAAGAATAGAGATGAAATGAAATGGGAATGGATAGTGTCATAGAGATGCATGGGATGCGATGGGGGGGGGAAGGGGATGGGATGAAAGGGGAGGGTGCGTCTTGAGTTATCTATGCCACCTTTGCTACCAGTGACGCACGGCAGGGCAAAACTCTGCAGCTCAGATCAGATAACGAGCCCGGCCAGCGTGTCATGCTGACACCGTGGCGGCGGGACAAGGTGTATGCGCAGCGGCTAGATTTCGGATTCAAAGCAGATTATGCATTAGTCACTCATTTCATTGTACCATTGAGTCCATTTTCGGTCCGAGTGACGTGGGCCAAGGACCCTTGACTCGCCTCAGGTCATGTTTGCGGATGAGAACTCAGTCACAACTATCATGGCAGCGCGCAGGCTTGAGGGTGACGGTCGGACCCGGAGGTCCGACGCTCACTGAGCTGCATTGGAGTCTGGGGACCGTAATCTTATCATGAGGGCCGAGATCTCCGGGCGCGGCGCGGCGCCGCGGCCCAGGCTCAGCCCGGTGATGCCAGGATCGGACCGTCACGCTATGCCGGTTACGCCGGCCCTTCAGCTGCAGTGCGGCCGCCATACTAGCCTACGCCCGACCCCTCAGCCTGGCCACACTGCCCGGGCTCCCGCCTGAAGTCTTTACTTAAAGTAAAGCCTGAACTTGGCTGGCTTGGCCCGGCCTTGAACCGTGAACAGTGTCCTGCCATGCTGGAGCCTCGGAGTCCGGCGAAGTGACGTCCCTGAGTCGGAGTCCGGCGCTCAGCGGCTACTACTGCGACAGTGTTACAGTCACGGTACCGGGGTACGGTATCAGCCTGCTGGTACTAAAGCCCGGCCCGGCGGCCCGGGTCGCCGAGTCCCCCGGGGAGGGGGGCCGGCGCCGGCCTGGGAGCCGCGGCCGCGCTCAGTCACTGGGCCCACATGGAATGGGGAGCGCCGCCGCGTCCGATCACAGTGCCGCTGGCGGGGCAGGCGGCGGCTCAGCTCGGACTGCGCGCCGCGCGCTGGCACGCTTGATCCGAAAAAAAACCGGCAGGCAGGGGCTGCACACGGTGGTCGTCGGCGGCGTGCGGCAGCGCCGAACTTGCGAACCGTGAACCCGGCGCGCTGCCTCCGGCGACCGGCCGCACCGGCGGCCGCCCCCGCGGGCCCGGCCCCCTGCCCGGCCGCGGCCCGCCTCACTGCCTGAGCAGCTGCCGTCTGAGTCATCAACGGGCGTGCTGGTTGCAGGCGAAAGGCTCACGGTCGCCCGGGGGGGGCGGAAGGCCCTGAGGGCCGCAGGCGCAGCCTGCCCGGCAGTGCTGTACGAAACGGCCAGCCTAACAGTGATCGGACGGCGTTGGTTGGATGAGAGTCGGAACTCGGAACTCCGAAGGTTTCAGAAGAAGCGTTCGCACTAGATATCGCGTCGGATCAGATTGTTGCGTCAAAGGGGGGAGTTGTAGCCAACTTGAAGCAAAAATTGACCCCGACTTGTGATGAAAAGGAGTGGTTTCGACGGGGTGGCTGAAAAGGCGACCCCACCCTTGAGCACCCTACCTACCTTTGTCTATGCCCAAAAAGGGGTGCGGGTGCCTCAGATACAGAGAGAAATGGTTCCACCTTGAGCGTGTGAGAGAACCGCGCGCTGACATGACGAGGCAGCAGCAGGGGCATCAGCATGCTGACCTGTCGCACTAGCCTAGTAGAGGTGAGGGGGTCAAAGAGCTTGAGGAGGGAGTGGAGCTCTGGACGCTGACTCATTTCCAGATGTTGTGTCGAAAGATGTTGTGTTGAAAGATGTTGTGTTGGATCATGAAAGCCTTACCTAGAAAAAGCCATCTAGATCTATACAGCAGTGCGATCTAGTCATCGAAAGCATGACGACAAACGACACCTGGCCCCTCACTGGGCAAATGCGAGGGAGAGCTCATACGCACAGAAATGCAGTGTAGTGTACTTGAAGAGGATTGACAGGACGTGGTTGAAATGCTCATTGCGTGATGCGCTGTTGTCAGGCATCGATCATCGTAGGAAAGAGATCCCAACCAAGCGCAGGCTGGATTTAGTCTTGGTGATACCACGAGTAGGTAGATCTTGATGCTTTAGTCTTGATGATACCACTAGTAGGTAGATCCTGATGCTTTGTACCTCATGCAATATCAACATGTCGACATGTTGAGGTGTAGAGAGGAGAAGAATAGAGATGAAATGAAATGGGAAGGGATAGTGTCATAGAGATGCATGGGATGCGATGGGGGGAGGAGGGGATGGGATGAAAGGGGAGGGTGCGTCTTGAGTTATCTATGCCACCTTTGCTACCAGTGACGCACGGCAGGGCAAAGCTCTGCAGCTCAGATCAGATAACGAGCCCGGCCAGCGTGTCATGCTGACACCGCGGCGGCGGGACAAGGTGTATGCGCAGCCTGAGCGGCTAGATTACGGATCATCCAAAGGGCTAATAGGTAAAGTACTTGACATGGGCCAAGGATCATCATGCCGCAGCGCCCGGCCGCACAGCCGGCTGAGAGCCTGTTCGGTCTGGGCCCGGGGGACGGACTCTGAGCGACCCGGTATGGTACTGGACCGTGCCTCCGGGCCGCTGTGCAGTGCGGCCCATAAGGCGGCGGCCAGTACCGTACTCAGTGTCTACGGTTTGTCACACGGCACTGTGTCTTTTCGGCTGAGGCTCTTTCAATGAAGCGAGCCTGAAGAGGCTGAGTCGCCATATTCGATTGTCAGTGTGACTCTGAGGTCACTGACCGTCAGTACGGTGCCAGTCCGACAGCACTAGAACCGTGAGTACTTGGCCGGATTCCGAAGTTCGGAGTCACAATCATGAGGGCCCGGCCTGTCACCCGGCCGCCCCGGCGGCGCGCGGCGCCCGGCCGGGCGGCGAGGCCGCGCCGGTTGCCGGTGGCAGTGCCCACCGTGGCACTGGGCCCGGCCGGCCGGGACGCCTTGGCCCAGGCTGCCCCCCCCGGGCCCCCCGGCGGGACCGATCGGATGATCCCTGAGACCGTGCCTCAGCGGAGAGCCAGTGCCTTTCGCAGCGTTTCACATTGTTGCCCCTCGGGGGCGAATTGTATTTTTGCGCCATTACGGGTCGTTTTAGAAGGCTCAAAGGCTGCATGTCAACGTTTCGCCGGGGCCCTCACGAAACGGTGGCAGAAGGTGAAAGGCTGCTGAAGGTACGCAGACTAAGAGCGATGGTATACGGAGGGAAAGGATTCAATGCTCTGTTTGATGATAGTTTGAAGACATTTGATAGATGAACACCTTCTATCAATCTTTTGTTACCAACTTTCGTTGGATCGGCCCAAAAGAAGCAATGGCAAGCACAGTCGGATTTGAAGAAGAACCGAGATCGGCACTTTGTATCACCATCTATTCACATCAATCTGGGATGCTGCGACCCGATCTACCAAGCATACCATATCCTGCTCTTTGGAAATATTCTATCGTAAAGAAAAAAAACTGCCGTGCTTTCATTTCGCTCCCACAATACAGCTATGATCAGCAGACAAAAAGATGTTGTCTAGAAGCAGCCTGCTTGAACATTGCCAGCAATGTGGGGAACTCATAACAGCAATTCATTTCACGATAAAACGTATAGACTCTAGTGCTGAAACCTCCTCAGCTTTCACCAATCACCGCTAGCGGAGATGGGGGAACTAGTAACAATGCACACTGCTTTTGCACAGTCTACAAATCTATGACAAAATGTAAGTACTTTGATATACCAATAGGCAACAGTTGATCACATGATTGAAAGGGTTGGATATGCTCTTCATTGGTGTATCCAGGTCCATGGCTCCTATCCCGCTGCCTTGCCTTCATTGGGTTTCAACACTTTGTCCATCGTCAAGCCGCATTTTGGTCCCCTCTTCCCCTCCCTGCAATTCAGTGTGACTTGAAAAAAGTACTTTTGAGTGGGAAATACAATGAATATACATCGATTCGTATTGTTGCGTGCGGGCAGGGTTATAGCTTTTGTCGCAAAGATCAATATTCTAAAACATATTAAAAAAGATCCGAAGCGATGCCAGTGGAAAACCATTATGGTCCCAACTGACACCTTTTCGGATGCACCGTACATGAAACCCAACGTTTCGACGGGAGATTACACAGTCAAAACTATCTCCTGCTACCATATATTGAATTATAAAACCCTATGGAAACAATGTTCTGAGGGGGACTCGATGTTTCTACAACACACAACGGCAGGCCTCAGTCAATTAAGGGAATTTGCCAGGTTCACAAGCTGAGACTGAGATTGCTTGAAGCAACCGTCCACTGATGACAACACTTGATGTGCTATGTACTGTGATTGGACAGCCAGGGCCAGTCTGTCAGTGTGCTGACGTTGAAGGCTCTGATATGAGATCGAGCGAACCCAACTAGCACGAACTTGATACACAGTCGACAATTTTAACAAACATCATGTATTCTCATTCTCGTCTTGATCGACCCCCTTGTCACCAGCTCCGGCGTCAGTTCTCTCGGGGAGTTGGACGACCTCTAAGTCTCGACCTGCGAGCATGCCCGTCAGCAACGACAGGGAGAATGGGTTGATGGAGGAGACCAGGGTCCCTCCCTCCCATCTTGAGAAATTCTTCAAGAGTTTTGAACTGTGAGGAATGAAACTACATCACGTCAGCCCGGCAGTGGAAACGTTGCACATCACGTCGTGACGCTCGCTACCTCTTTGTAGCTGCTCCCACTCCCGGAGTCATCGCCGCCGTGAGATTCATCCTGATCTGATAATGTTGCAGCGGTATGAGCAAGGATCAGTGGTAGAGAGGACGAATACCTAATCCTACTTTATACGATCCGAGTCTCTCTGTAAAAGCGCTTTCAATGGGACAGCAGTCAAGGTCTTAATGCGATGGTTCACCGCCTCCTTCAAAAAGCCCTTCTCTGCTCACAATCTCCTTGTCAGTCCGGTGTCAGTCTAGCAGGGACAGGAGGGGAAGATTGCCTGCTAAGACAGACCGCACACTTCCTCCCGTACTTTGAGTTCTCTGGATCGAAAGCTGGGCCCTGCTCAACCGTAAGTTCATGCCATGGCGGAGGATGCTTCCTACAGAAAGCTTTTCCTCGAGGAGATTGCAGTAGCAGTCTGTGCCGAGATCGTCGGTGGTTTTCTCCTCTTGGAAGATGGAGAGAGTAGCGTCAGGAAGATGGTGCAAAAAACAAGAATCATTGCACCTGCTTGTCCTCCTCTCACCCTCAAGAGCAAGGGCACCCATGGTTTGTTGTCTGCGAGCACTGCATCAGATGCAGTCTTGTAGTCCATATTCACTTACAAGTTGGATTACCTCCCTCGATGAAAGGGGCTAAGTTACCCATCCTTTCACCAACATGGTCGGTCCGCGGGGAACACAAAGAGATGAGAGAATACCTGTTCCGCTCTGCGATACTTGCACTAATCGTAAAGCTGTTAAGGACTAGTATGATACGTAAGTCAGTTCGATGAGAAACACGGACATGTTCATATCAACAAACGACCTCAGCAGCCGTTGAGGACAGATGGTGAACAGAAACCAAACGCATATCGCATCATCGTGACTCAACATGACGAGGTATCATGAAGAAGTGCGAAGCCAAGGCAAGATGTCAACAAATCATACCATATCATCATATCATACCATATCATACCATATCATGCCATATCATACCATATCATGCCATATCATACCATATCATACCATGTCATACCATATCATACCATCATGCTTTCATATCCGAACATTTCAACACTGACTGCAAGGCCTCACCCCCGCACAGCAGCCCCGCCACTGTGACCATCGTTGTCATGCTATTCGTCACGAGCTCGCCTCAGCATGAAATAATGAGGACAGAAGTCCTGTATTATTAATACATAATCATTTCATTACAACAATGAAATTGAGGCAGCGGTCTCTTCTCCGAAAATGGTGAGAGGGAGCAGGGGGGGCGGGGGGGACTAGAACATGAGCGAGGGAGCGAACAGAACGCAGGTAGCATGAAGAGGAGAGAGTCATCAGAGCGTGACACAGTTTGAACGCATGGAGATGAAGATTGGAAAACCCGGAGCAGCAAGGGGGGGGGATGGGGTTGGAGAGAATGAATCTGGCTAGGAACATTCAAACCCCCTTCATGACGAACGCCATGCCTTGACGTGTTCGCAGGTACCGCATTCCTCATATTGAGACTCTGCAAGATGCCGGTAGAACGAGTTTCGCTCTGGCTGAACCTTCCTGCCATGATGGACCCTGGGAACTTTGGGAGATGGGGAAACCTGTCCATCGACCCTGTGAGCTGACAGCGTGCGCGTTTCTGTTCTGACGGCAGGGCAGGAGGAGGGATGGTATACTCCGTACCTTGTGGTGCTGTCGTTCTTCTGGTTTCTTGTGATTGTTTGCTTGTGATGCCGTTGAGATGCTTGCTTTCGTTTTGTTAAGAACTGTACAACAGGGTTTGCTTTGAGCAGTATGTGTTGTACTACCAGAGGCCTTTTGAGGTGAGATCGGCAACGAGGGTCTTGCAGAGGTTGATTCTATAGCTGCAGACAAAGAGCAAGATGCGACGGACGAGCAAGATCAACTGAGATTGTTGGGATTGCCATTTTCGATGCGAAAAGATGAAAATTCCAACTCGGAATCTTTTCTTCATGTCTTTGCTCGTCATTCCGTCTTTCAACGGAGACGCTGCAAGCTCGTTTCACCGCGGTTTGAAGAAAGAAGAAGATGGAGATGATGATGATGATGATGGAGATGATGATGGAGATGATGATGGAGATGATGATGATGATGATGATAACAATAATTGAGATTTTGACTATGCAAGATTCTCTCAGTTCTCTCGCTGCGCGGTGGATGGAGAGCAGACACTGCTGAGACCTGGGGGAGAGGCAGCTTGGAAGGATATGAGGACTCTCCCACCCGGTTGGAGGAATATGATGATCATGTTTACATGGTTTTGATAGAGATAATGATGATAGTGATGGTGGAGATGATTGAGATTATTGAGATGATAGCGATGATGATTGAGATGATAGCGATGATGATAGAGATGATAGCGATGAAAGATATGATAGCTATGATTGAGATAATAGTGATGATTTACACTATGAAGATGATGATGGCAATAAAGAGGATGGAGAGGTTGGAGTTGGCAGATGAGGGTCATGGTATTGTGGTGGTTTAAAGTGCGACGAGAAGCTTGAATTGAAGTTAATAGAGATAGAAATGATGGAGATAGTTGGGCAATGATTGTGGTGGAGATGATTGTCGTTATTATCGTGATGATCATTATGAATGCCAGTGATGTTCTTGCAGCTCATCATGAAGAGATCGTTGTTTCCAGTTTGTTGTTGATTTCATGTTTGACAACATTTGCAACGCAGAGCAGGAGAAGTTGGTTTTCCTCCAAGGCATTTCGCTCACAGAATTGAATCAGCTGTAATTTGAATTGCATCTCATGAAATTCTCCTCACCCTGAGATCTTACCGCAGGAGCTCACGAGCATACAGGAAGCATTAGACAAGGTTTTGTTTGGGAAGCATCATGTATGTAAGAGACTGATTCCCATTTGTTCTTGCAAAGAAATATCGGACAGTCGTAGAGTCAGAGATCATACGTCGGCCACGAGTAAACTCGATGTTGAGGTTTCAAAGATATCGGCTGAAGATTATTTCAGGAAGTGATCATTATTCCTGACGATGAAGACAACGTTGTCCATGGAGTACTCCGGTGGGCCGTCACAACTTCGTGACAACTCAAGAACATCCTTCCGACTTTTCTTGCAGTGCAGTGAAGAGCAAATACAAGGTGTTTGTCAAACCAGGAACTCACTCTTGGAGGTTGAGCCAACCCCGTGTGTTTTGCGCTTGTGAGTGTTGCTTGCAGAGGATTCATACCGCTGCCTTTCAAGTCTACGATGCATCTGTTTGCTGCTGGTGAAGACTCGACATTTCAGGTAGTTGGCATATGATGTTTGGAAACATGACGATAGGTTGTCGTTGGCAGGTTGAAGACAGGAAAGTGGCAGGGAAAGTTACCCTCGTCGGGCGTTGGGTATTTGAGCCGACAAGTCAGGTTGGTGCGCGATGTGGGATGGTGATGACAGCGCGATGATGATTGAGGCGATGATGGTGATGATTGTGTGGATAGAGATGCTCATGAGCCAGAGATGATGATGATGGAGATGATGATGATGGAGATGATGATGATGGAGATGATGGAGATGATGATGATGAT